TCTGCCTGTGTCTTTGCCTCTCTCTCTTTGTGTCTCTCATGAATAAATAAATTCTTTAAAAAAATTATCTGTTCTTTTTATTTTTTTGTCCTTTTTATTGCCAATTCAATTTCATTATTAATAATTGGTCTCTTCAGATTTTCTATTTCTTCCTGATTCAGTTTTGGGAGATTGTATGTTTCTAGGAATTTATTCACTTCTATGTTGTCTAATTTGTTTGCATACAATTGTTCAAAGTATTCTCTTATAATCCTTTGTATTTCTGTGGTATTAGTTGTTGCTTCTCTTTCATTTCTGATTTTATTTATATTCAGGTTCTTCCTCTTTTTTTTTTTCTTGAGCAGGGTGGAGAGGTAGAGGGAGAAGCAGGCTCCCTCCTCATCTGGAAGCTTCTTCTTCTTCTTATTATTTTTTTTTTCGATGAATCTGGCTAATAGTTTATCAATTTTGTCTATCTTTTAAAAGAACCAGGTCTTGGTTTCACTGAATTTTTCTATTTTTTTTAAAGATGTAATTATTTATTTGAGAGACAGAGAACAAGCTCAAGTGAGCAGGGGGAGAGATAGAGGAAGACGGAGAGAGAGAATCCCAAGGAGACCTCCTGCTGAGTTACAGAGCCTCACATGGCACTTGATCCCATGATCCCATGAACCTGAGATCATGATCTGAGCTGAAATCAAGACTCAGATACTCAGCCACCTGAGCCACCCAGGTGCCTCCGTTTTTCTATTATCTTTTTAGCCTCTGTGTCATCTAGTTCTGCTCTGATTTTTATTATTTCCTTCCTTCTACTCAACTCAGGCTTTGTGTTTTTATTTTCTAGTTCCTCTAGATCTAAGTTTAGATTGTTTACTTGAGCTTTTTCTTATTTCTTGAGATAGGCTTGTATTGCTATATACTTTCCTCTTAGAACTGCTTTCTCGGGATTCCTGTGTGGTTCAGTGGTTGAGCATCTGCCTCAGTTCAGGGCGTGATCTCAGGATGCCTGGATTGAGTCCTGCATCGGGCTCCCTGCATGGAGCCTGCTCTGCCTCTGCCTATATCTCTGCCTCTCTCTCTCTCTCTCTCTCTGTCTCTCATGAATAATAAATAAAATCTTTAAAAAAAATGCTTTCTCTGTGTCCCAAAGATTTTGGACCATTGTGCTTTCATTTCATTAAAAAAAATTTTTTATTGGAGTTCAATTTGCCAACATATAGCATAACATCCAATGCTCATCCCATCAAGTGCCCCGCTCAGTGCCCATCACCCAGTCACCCCATCCCCCTGCCCACCTCCCCTTCCACTACCCCGTGTTCATTTCCCAGAGTTAGGTGTCTCTCATGTTCTGTCTCCCTCTCTGATAGTTCCAACTCATTTTCTCTCCTTTCCCCTTTATTCCCTTTCACTATTTATTAAGAGAGAGCGCTTTTTCAAGATAATTAAAGTTGCTTTATTATTCAAGATTTCTTAATATTATGAAATGTCTAATGTTCATATTTCCCTGATTGCCATATACATAATTTATGGTTTGTTTATGTGAATCCAGTATCCTTGGAAAGTCCATACATTATAATTGGTTGATATAGCACTTAAAATTCTCTTCATCTATTCAGTCTCCTTTTATCCTTTCAAATCAACCTTTGTTAACAGAAACCAGGTTGTTTGCCTCATTGAGTTTTTCACATCTAGATTGTACTGATTGTATTGCTGTAATGTAGTTAATATGCTTCTCTGCTTTTAGTTTCCATAAATTGTTAGATTTAGGCTTAATCAGATTCACTTATAAATTCTCCGGCAAGACTTTTTAAAAGGTAGTATTGTGTGCTTTCAGAAGAAGGTACATAATGTTGGAACACTTGGGTGGCTCAGTGGTTGAGCGTTTGCCTTTGGCTCAGGTTGTGATCTTGAGGTCCTGGGATCAGATCCCACATTGGGCTCCTTGTAGGGAGCCTGCTTCTCCCTCTGCCTATGTCACTGCCTCTCTCTGTGTGTTTCTCATGAATGAATAAATAAAATCCTAAAAAAAAAAAAAAAAAAGAAGGTACATAATGGCTGGGGGCATCTGGCTGGTTCAGTCAGTGGAGCTTATGACTCTTGATCTCAGGGTTCTGAGTCCAAACCCCTTGCTGAGTATAGAGATTCCTTGAAAATAAAGCCTTAGTAAGAATAAAAGAAGGTACATAATGTCTGTTCCACTCTCTATGATTTAATAAACTATTGATGATCTTTCTTAGATCCATTAGAACCATTTGTTAAGGTTTGCAAAATGGTGATTTTTTTCCACTGAAGATTTCCCTTGATACTTAGCCTTTAAAAACACTTTTTTAAGGGGTAATTGGGTGGCACAGTTGGTTAAATGTCTGACTCTTGGTGTTGGCTCTGGTTGTGATCTCAGGGCCCTGAGATTAAGCCCTGTGTTGGGTTTGGTACTCAGTGTGGAGCCTACTTGAGACTCTCCCTTTTTCTCTGGTTCTCTCCACTGCATGCCTTTCCACCCTCTAAATAAATAAATAAATAAATAAATAAATAAATAAATAAATAAATCTTTTTTAAAATCCGGTTTTCAAAGTCTTTGTGTATTCTTTCTTAAAGATTTGCCATACTTAAATATATACATTCACTGATTGCTGGACATCTAGACTTTCTGATTTTTCAGCCTATAAACATTGATGGGATCAACATTCTTATACATCTCTTATACATAAATCAGTGGAAGTCTAAGCTTTATAGCTTCTTCCTACGCACTAAAATGTCTTCCTCAAAAGTAGCAGTTCATTCCCTCCACTGAAAAGAATGCCTGTTTTCTATATATCTTCATCATTCTTACATATTTAATATGTTTGTATTCCATATTTTATATTAAATGCAAATTATTACAAGTGAATTAGGAATCTAGCTACTATAAATACAGTAAGAAAATTCAAGTTTTGTTATTTTCTAAAATGCAGAGAAGAAAAAGTAATTGCTCACATATGAGAAAATTAAAAATTAATCTGTTGAAATTTCAGAACCATGGAAAATTATTGAACTACTTGGTGGGCCTCATGTTTATCCATCTATTGTTTTCAGGAATTAGTGGTAACTACAGAGTAGCTTTGTGTGCAAGTGTGCTATTTAATATCCTAAAAATTTTGAAGTAATTTTTTTAAAAATGTAAGTTTCTGACTATAAATATAATACGCTAATTGCAAAATGCTGCTCTAAGGAATAGTATCTTAGAAATAATGCCCCAGGCTCTGTGACTACCTTCTTATAATTTTAAAGTTTCCGTTAACTATTTACTATATTTACTATAAGGAAAATTGTCTGATTTCTTTCCTTGTAAACTTACGGGTTTTGAGATGTGGATTCAGAGCTTAACTTTATGCTTTACTAGATATGTATGTCCTTATGGCTTAGTTTCTTCAGGGTTGATATTCAACTGGGAAGTACTGGGATGACTATTTCAATAGATTAAAGCTGTATCTGTTGTTAAACCTCTGAGCATCATCATTGGGAATATGAATATCAACCTTCTGACTTCCATTGTGGGTTCAAGGATGTTCATCTGGATCCAAAGAGAACACTTTTTTTCAATCTCTAGCTGTGGAAATTGCCAAACTTCTCCTGTTTAGCAGGATTTCTGAGAGCAGCAAAGTGATATCCTGATGTGGGAAAATATTTGTAGTGACTATGGATACGTGTAGAATCTGTAAGGTGGCAATTTAACCTCTGCAATGGTCATGTGACTTTTACAAAACAATTTCTTAAAGGATGTACTTTCTTAAAATATGTGGTCTGTTTTTTAGCCTCTTAGGAAACAAAATTGGGTAGTTTACTGCTTAAGAGTAGTCTTCTTCAGAACTTTGTAATGGAACTTATTAGTATGTTTTTTTTTTTAATTTTTATTTACTTATGATAGTCACAGAGAGAGAGATAGAGGCAGAGACACAGGCAGAGGGAGAAGCAGGCCCCATGCACCGGGAGCCCGACGTGGGACTCGATCCCGGGTCTCCAGGATCACGCCCTAGGCCAAAGGCAGGCGCCAAACCGCTGCGCCACCCAGGGATCCCTTATTAGTATGTTATTATAGGGTTTATTAATGTCTCAAATTTTGGGAAATGGTCAGGCATGCATTTAAAAATCAAAGCTTGGACAAATAATGAGGTATCTGAAATAGTCCAGTTTAGAGAAGCAGAAAATAGAATGGTGATTGCCAGGGGACAGGGAGATGGAAGTTGATGTTCAATGGGTATAAAGTTACCGTTATGCAAGATCTGTTATTTCTAGACAATTCCCATAGGACAGAGTGTGTATAGTTAGCAATATGGTCTTGTGCACTTAAAAACTCAAGAGGGTAGATCTTGTGTTCAGTATTCTGTACTAGAAATTTTATTTTTTTCTTTTTAAAGCAAAGGGGCACAGAGAAACTTTCAGGGATGATGGATGTGTTTATTACCTTGATTTGTGGTGATGGTATCACAGGTGTAGATGTATGTCCAAACTCAACACGTTGTATACATTAAATATGCACAGGTTTTTGTGTATCATTTATATATTAATAAAGCCATAAAAATTAGTGCTTATTAGAAAAACCGATCAGATCCAGATGTGATCTGTACCTGAGTTAATAGTATTGTAACAACTTCAATTTCCCAGTTTTGAAAATGTATTATGTTAAAATAAAAAACTCATACTTAACATTAAGGCATTAAATATTATTTTATTTTAATTTTTGATAACCATTCTTTCAATCATCTATTGCTATTTACACATCTCTCCTTGCTTCAGTTCCTCCCAGGTAATTAATAACTTTCTGACCTGTAATGTTTTACACATTCTCCATGTTTCCATGGTCACATACAAATACATGCATTTCTGGGGATGCCTGGGCCACTTAGTTGGCTAAGTGTCTGATTCTTGATCTCAGCTCAGGTTCTTTTCTTTCTTTCTTTCTTTCTTTCTTTCTTTCTTTCTTTCTTTCTTTCTTTCTTTCTTTCTTTTTTTTTAAGCTTTAATTCACTTTTATTTTTCTTGTATAAAACTATGTGGTAGCCACAGCTGGAGCCTGGGTCCTCTGCATGGAGACTCTGGTGTGGGTCTTTACAAGATGGTCAGTGAATTCCTGATAGGGAGACTTGGTGAACACAGAAATCAGGGGCAAGATAGCTGTAGGTTTTGGAGATCGCATCAAAAGTAGCCTTGGCAAAGTTCCCCAGGGTGGCAGTGCAGCCCCTGGCTGAAGTGTAACAGTCATCAATATCAGCCATCATCAGTAGCTTCTTGGGCACAGTGGCTGAGACAATGCCAGTGCCTCTGGGGGCAGGGATGAGACGCACCAGCACAGAACCACAGCGACCGGTCACCTTGCATGGGACAGTGTGGGGCTTGCCTATCTTGTTCCCCCAGTAGCCACATCGCACGGGGACGATGGAAAGCTTGGCCAGGATGATGACCCCACGGATGGCAGTGGCTACCTCCTTGGAGCACTTGACACCCAGACCCACGTGTCCATTGTAATCTCCGATGGCAACAAATGCCTTGAACCTGGTCCGCTGGCCAGCACGGGTCTGCTTTTGCACGGGCATGATTTTCAAGACCTCATCCTTGAGGGATGCCCCCAAGAAGAAGTCAATGATCTCAGGTTCCTTGGTGGGCAGAGAAAAGAGATATATCTCCTCCAGGGACTTGATCTTCATGTCCTTGACTAGGCTGCCCAGCTTGGTGACGGGGATCCACTCCTTGTTCTCCGCCTTGCCTCCGTGAGCTCTGGGCCTCTGGGCCTCTGGGCCTCTGGACCCTTCCGCAGCACTGGCGTCATCCTCCATTTGGTGTTCTCTCAGAGAAGGGCAGTTCAGGTTCTGATCTCAGGGTTGTGAGTTCAAGCCCTGCATTGGGCTCCCACTGGGTGTGGAGTCTACTTAAAAAAAAAAAAAAAAAAAAAAAAGATGCTCAATATCCCTAACGCCCCCCCCCCCAAAAAAAACAAAATACATGCATTTTTGGTTTATTTTGTAACAGCGTGATTAGGATTATATATACTTTCACGTAGGTTCTTATTTTTACTTGAAAATACATCGAGGAAAAATATCTTCAAACAAACTTAACTGAAATAGATGGAACTCAGTCCCTTTAATAGCTCCAAAACACAATTAGGGTATCACAATTTATTAAACTGTGCCTTTATTTATCCATATCCATTTTCTCTTTCTTCTTCCTTCCTTCCTTCCTTCCTTCCTTCCTTCTTCCTTTCTTTCTTTCTTTCTTTCTTTCTTTCTTTCTTTCTTTCTTTTTCTTTCTTTCTTTCGTCTTTCTTTTTAAGTAGGCTCCATAACCAATGTGGGGCTTGAACTCATGACCTCAAGATCAAAAGTCGTGTGCTCCACTGTCTGAGCCAGCCAGGTGCCCCATATATCCATTTTCTTCCCAATGTATTGGTACTCAAATATTGTTGAAATAAATATATATATATATTAAAGATTTTATTTATTTATTCATGAGAGAGAGAAAGAGAGAAAGAGGCAGAGTCACAGACAGAGGGAGAAGCAGGCTCCATGCAGGGAGCCTGATGTGGGACTCGATCCCGGACTCCAGGATCATGTCCTGGGCTGAAGGCAGGCACTAAACTGCTGAGCCACCCAGGGATCCCCAAATAAATATATTTTGGACCAATGCTTTTATAGCTATGGGATAAGTTCTCAGGGGATGGGATCACTAGATTGAATGAAATACGAATTTATTTATTTTTAAGCTTTTACATATTTATCCATGAGAGATACAGAAACACAGGCAGAGAGAGAAGTAGTCTTCCTTCCCGGAGCCCTATGCGGGGACTCCATCAGGGACCCTGGGATCAAGTCCTGAGCCAAAGGCAGACTCAATCACTGAGCCACCCAGGCATCCCGAAAGAATATGAATTTAAAGAAAACTTTGTTTAGATATTTCCAGACTTATTTCCCAAATGGTGGCATTATTTTACATTTCCAGTAGCAAACATTGAAAATACACTTTTCCTTGTATCCTTACCAGCAGTAGGTGTTATATTGCTTTATAATTGTTGTGAATTTGGTAAGTCAGAAGTCATACCTCATTGTTGTATTAATTTACATTTCCCTGACAATTGTGAGGTTGAGCAGGCTTGCAAAGTTTATTGATCATTTGGATTTTTGTACGTGTGAATTGCTATTCACAGCTTTAGGCCTTTTTTCTCATTGGATTGTTTTTGTCATTTTCTCAATAATTTGTAAAAACTCCTTGTATATTGCAGTTATCAATCACTTATCTTTCATATGTGTTACAAATCTTTCCCCTAAGCTACTTTTTTTGCCTTTTGTCTATGTTTATGGTATCATTTGCCATATCATATTACATTTTTCTAGTGTTGTGAACTCTGTCTACATTCTTCTTCAATGGCTTCTAGGTTTCCTATCTTTTCAAAGAAAGTCTCCTCAACCCCCATATTACACATTATCATACTTAATTTTTTTTGATGCTTCTGTTATTTTATTTAGTTGCTTAAAACTTTTATAAAGTTGTAGTTCTGATTATTAAGCAATGCTCTCTTGCTTCAAACTCACCCCTTCTATCTTCTTGTTCTTCTATCTTCTTGTTCTTAGTTCTTGTATCTTAGCACTACAGCAGTGAGTCTTGGCCCAGGGGCAACTTCCAGAGCAATATTCCAGTTTGCAGTTTTTCCAATACTTCTCCAAGCAACCTCAATGTACCACCTCAGGGATAGCAGCCATTTGGTACCTCACAACTCTCCAGAGGTCTTACCTCCAGTTCTGAGGGCCCCATCTACAACCTTCTAAATCTGCCAATCCCCACTCCTTCCTTTGTTTTTTCCAGCCCTTGGGATAGTGGCTGTTTCCCCACAGTTATTCCTTTGTGCTATCTCAGATCCTCTGTCTTTTTATTTCTTGAATAGGTGGTTAATAATTCTCTTTCTATTAAATTCTCTCTATAAAAATAGCTGACATGGTTTCTGTTTCCTGTCTGGACCCCAAATGTTACTGTTGAATATTTCAATCTTTTCCCTTAGATTTTATGGAGACAAGTTTTTTTCTCCCTTTAAACGACTCACCAATTGTTCTAACAGCATTTTATTTCCTATCTTTGTCCTACTGGTGTTGTTTAAAATATTTTTTGACATAGAATTTTAAAATTTTGGGGGTGCCTGGGTGGCACAGTCGGTTAACCATCCGCCTTCAGTTCAAGTCATGATCACAGGGTCCTAGGATTGAGCCCTGCATTATTCCTCTGCTGCTCCTCCTGCTTGTGTTCTCTCTTTCTCTCTCTGCCAAATAAATAAATACATTTTTTAAAAAAAAAACCTCGAAATTTTTATGTAGTTCAAACTTATCAATTCATCCCTCATGATTTTTCTTCTTTGTTCTTGCTTTGGAAAGTCCTTTCCATGTAGGTCAGAAGAATAATCCTGCCTATTTTCTTCCTGTGTTCTTATATTGTATCACCTCGTTTAGTTTTCAAAGTTTAAAAAGTTGAGACCCACTGTAAGAATGTATTTTGCTTTGTCAATGAGTATACATTTTATATAAATTTGAAACAAAAATTTCATGAAATCATATTTGTGGCAAAAGTTTTTACTACTTACAAAAGTCTCTTATATTTCTCTGTTCCTTTACAGTTAGTTCCTTAACAGAAGTACTATATGTAACTTCTAAGAAGTCTCCTCACATGGAGAGACCATGTCCTTCTCCTTCCTTTCCTTTTATTTGTTAAAATGTGGGCCTGATGGCTGGTGCTAGAACAGCCATCTTGAACTATGAGGTGATCTTGGGAATGCAGCAACAATAGAGAAGCAACTTGGATGTTGTTTTTCATATGTGTTACAAATCTTTCCCCTAAGCTATTTTTTTTTTTTGCCTTTTGTCTGTTTATGGTATCATTTGCCATATCATATTACATTTTTCTAGTGTTGTGAACTCTGTCTACATTTTTCTTCAATGGTTTCTAGGTTTCTAATCTTTTCAAAGAAAGTCTCCTCAACCCCCATATTACACATTATCGTACTTAATTTTTTCTGATGCTTCCGTTATTTTATTTAGTTGCTTAAAACTTTTATAAAGTTGTAGTTCTGATTATTAAGCAATGCTCTCTTGCTTCAAACTCACCCCTTCTATCTTCTGAAAGAAGAACTTCCTGGAGTCTGCTTGCATCTTGATTTTCAAGTGAGGAATTAACTTCTTGACTTTAATGTGAGAAACTAATACTTTTTTATGTTTTACTGTTACTCCTAGCCAAATTAAATTCTTGCAAGTACATCTTTTGTAGAGTTTATACTGCTACTAACAATACGTGAGAGGGATGCTTCTCCAGTGTCACTAACTGGTATGTTGTCAAATTCTTGAATTTTGATAACCGTAAAAAGTAAGAAAAATTATATTTTAATTTGAATTTCTCTTGTTGTGAGTCAGACACAATATCTTTTATGTGAGGGTGACTTTCTAAATTTTATTTATTTATTTATTTATTTATTTTTTACATGAGGGCGATTTATATTTCTTTTTCTACAAACTGTATGGAAATCAGTATTTCCTATCAAGCACTTCATATTTTTTTTAAAGATTTTATTTATTTATTCAGGAGAGACACAGAGAAAGAGGCAGAGACACAGGTAGAGGGAGAATCAGGCTCCATGCAGGGAGCCCGATGTGGGACTCGATCCCGGGTTCCCAGGATCACACCCTGGGCTGAAGGCTGCGCTAAACCGCTAAGCCAAGCCGGCTGCCCTATCTTTTTTTTGTTTCTAAGAATTCTTTGTATATTATTCTTTGTAAATTAAGAAAATTAATCCTTTACTTGTGATATGAGTTGCAAATATGTTTCCAAATATTTGTTATTTGCCTTTACTTTTTATTTTCTCTCCCCCTTTTTTGTTTCCTTTGATCATGTGGAAGATTTCAGAATGTTTTGGGGAAAGCCTGCAATCAAATTTTTAAAACTTTTCTCTCTGGTATTTAGATTTCAAGTCCTAATACAGGGTCAAAGTAATAAAAAAAATTTTGTTTTCTGAGATTTTTATAGATTTGTTTTTTTTTAATTTACATCTTCAAATATGAAAAGTAAAGTATGAACCCAACTTTATCTTTTTCCAAATGGCTCCCTATTTGTGCAAATCATTTATCTTTATACTATTGATGGAAGATATTTACCTTACAATGTATTAAATTCTTGTTTTCATATTGGTCTATTTCTGGACTTTGTATTTTGTTCTGTTGGTTTGTCTGTTCATATGCCAAAATCCACTTTTTAAATTATTGAGTTTTTTAGAATGTGCCTCTGTATTTAATAGGGTTGATTCCTCCTCACTGCTTTTCTTTTTCAAAATTTTCTTGGCTATTCTTGTTTAGTTTTTTTCATGTGCGAATTTTAATCAGCTTGTGTAGGTCTAGAAAAAAGCCCCAATCTGTTGACATATATATTGGGATCTCATTCAATTTACCAACACCTTCAGGGAAAATTGACATTTGTAGGATATTGACTATTCTAATCTGATATCTTATTCAGTCCTAGGAATTTTTATCTATCTTTAAAAAAAATTTACTTATTTGAGAGAGAGAGAGAAGAACAAGCAAGTGAGCAGTGGGAGGGGCAGAGGGAGAGCAGAGATGCAGACTTCCTGCTGAGCATAGAGCCCCATGTGGGGCTCAATGAGTAGCTCTGTGGGGGGCTTTGATCTAACAACCCTGAGGTTATGACCTGAGCCAAAATCAAAAGTAGGATGCTTAACTGACTGAGCCACCCAGGCCACCCCAGCAATTTTATCTGTTTTGATTGCTGTTGTAAATGGGGCTTCTTTTTCCAT